TAGAGAGGTAAATGGTGAAAATGAAAGAGAAGGTCTTTTACATCCGTTCAATGATCTCACTTTATTGGAAACCGGTGAGCCTCTTTGGGTACCAAAAACTCAGGTATGCGCAATTTCGATTTCAACTATAATTGATTATAACCTTTAGTAAATTTGTTCGACAATAATATTTATAGGAAGTTGGTTTCATGACCGAAGATATGCTACGTGAACAAGAGGAGATATTTGAAAAATTGGGCACATCAGAAGATGCGACTAAAGTACGAGCTCAAATGCAATCGGCGCATTTGTTGTCTGGTAAGCACTTTAAGCTTCTGAATATTGATGTTTATCTGATCTGATCTTTTTATAATTATACGTTCAGATATGCAGGCTTTCAAAGCAGCAAACCCCCATGCTATCTTGGAAGACTTTGTTCGATGGCATTCTCCACGTGATTGGATACCCGATAACGATAATCCAAACAAGGGAACTCTTAGCCAACGAATGTTGGAAGAGGGCAATTTATGGCAAGAATTGTGGAAGGTAAAATAATATATACATTGCAATTAACTATTTTGTGACTTATTGAAAACAAGGAATCATTATGCATAATGTATAGAGTGCTCAGCGAATACCTGCGGCACGTCAAAGTCCGCTGTTCAAATGCTCTCTGGAAGGAGAGAAGGTATAACGCATTTATATAATTCAATTTAAAAATGATGATTTTTTTTACTATACGATTGACTGCAATTTATATTTAGGCATTTCATTATTTGGAGCATTTGTCCGTTAAAGATTTATTTAAAATGTTGGTCCTTATTTTTATCTTGTTATTATTTCTTGAGATATTGCATAGTATCTTATATCTTGTTTATTATAAAATCAGGCTCTTGCCTACAATGTTTCTTATCGCATATGACACATTAGTATCTCATCCTGTCACCAAGAATATCAAACAAGTAGCTTCTGGCTTGGAAATGTTGATGAAGGAACTGACTAAATTTCCATGGAATGATATAGGGTGAATAAACTTTGTAAATTTCTGATCCCCAGTTACAATAACTAATAATATACAAATGACAGCTCAGAAAATGTCTCGTGCGATGGGATAATCCAGATGATAAGACAAAATGAATTATTAATTGGTAAAGCAATTTCACTCTTACGAAAGGTAAATCAACATTTTTAACAACTTTTTTTTTTTTTGCGAAAATTTTACTATATTTAAACGATAAATTTATAGTTACCTAAACAGTATTCTCTTGTTGAAAAACTTTTGGAAATACCAGAAAGTCAAGTTTCCGATGGGAAAGAGCGTGAAAGCGTATTCGAATTGTTTTCTTCTGTTGGTATGTAAAAATAGATAAAATAGAATATTGTGTATACTCAAGATTATTGTAATAATTTTATAAAACTTTTTGCTTGAAAATATAGCCCCACTTAATGATTCATTTCCACCACCAACGACGCGTGAATTTGTTTTGCAGACAACATGTCTTAGACCAACACCAGTACCAGCGAGAATGTATGTGCTATTAAATAATAACGAGATGAGGATTGTCGATATGGTGGGAAAAGATACTATATTCATGTAGATTATCTATTTTCAAAGGTTTTTTGATAGATACGTCTATATAAAAATAGAAAAAAAAAAAAAATTCAAAAACGAAACAAAAAAAAAAAAATATATTTCCCTCAAAAGTAATTTATATTTTAATTTTAGCTAGTATTAGTACATTTATGTATAGTATTATATAAAAATATAGATTTTTGGAAAATCATTAAATACAATGGGAATATTATTAATAATATTATATGATATTAAAACCACATTAGATAAGATAAAATAAAATAAAGCATATTAATTGGATGGATATTTGTAATTTGTTATACTTAAAATTTGTTCAAAAGATACAGTATTGGCTTTTTTTTTCATATTTCATTTCCGTGTAAAATCTACATATCGTGTAAACTAAATTTATATAAATTTATTTTGTATTTTATTTTGAAATTCATAATATATAGTTTGCATTAGATTTTGTTAAAGCTCCGAATATGTGCAATAGATTAAATAGATAAGTAGAAGCAAACAATATTTTTATTAATAACAAGCTCTTATTGTAATACAGTTAAATACATTAATGAATAATAATGAACAAAAGAAGATATATAAATAAAAATATCGTATGCATTCAATGGTATTATTGCAAAATCTATTATACTAATAATTATATATTCCCAATTTATCTTCGACTTAGATATAACTAAAAAAAAATTATGCAAAACTCAGTCAACTATATCTATTTCAAATTGTATTTATAGCAATAATTTATTCGTATAAAAATATAAGTTTAATAAACAGTTATAAATGATAATACATGTCAAATCGCGAGAAATGTAAAAAGATCAAGAAAAAATTTACATAAAAATAGCTGGAATTAAAGAAGTAATGCTCTATAATGTTTATACTGATTAATTAACAAAAAATTTGTAAAATAAATTAGTCTACAAAAAAAGTAATAAAAATAAATAAATGTAAATTTTTTTCTGATTGTTTATATTCTTTACTATGTATAACCAAACACTCACGCTATTGAAATAGTTTCTTTTTCAAATAACATCTTAGCT